GCACAGCTACCTAGGAACTGGAAACACTAAACGTCTATAAATATATAGTATTGTAGAAGAAAGGGCAATTGAGGATGCCACTTCTTATTCCAAATTTAGATATTCTCAGAATAAGTAGACTCCAGACTCAAGATATCAGAGATAGAACTGTTTTGTGTAAGTTGATAAATGAGAGGGCTGGGTTCTCTCATACCCTTTCTCTGACATTTACGTTTCAAAACACGGGTTAACTAATTTTTACCTATTTAGGAAGTTGGGTCCATTTACTAAATGCAAGGTATTTATCATCTCACAGGCTCTGTGCTACAAAGATCTTGGTGCCTAAGAGGGAAGAGGAAGAATGAAGTTTTTACTGCCATGATTGAATCCTTTTTGCTTTGTACACACCCTTTTGAGAATCTGATGAAAGTAATGAACTTCTGTAGAAAAATACACATGGGCTCAAACAAACACATACATTTTTACATAGAATTTCAAGATGTTTCTAGTCTTTTTGAAACTTAGCCATAAATCCAAACTCCCATATGTTCTTTGAACTCCACAGACTAAGAACTCCTACCTTAAATAAAAACATTGCTAAAAGTTATGAGCGACCTGAGATCCTGTAATACAATACTTAGATATCTGATGCATCCAACAAAGGGGAAGTTTTTACTTGGGGGCCTATAACTTAATCTTTAGCCACTAGGTTCCTTAAATGTTTTTCTCTCTCCTCACTGACTGTTCATAGCAGGCCGGCTTTGCTGGGTTCTTTTCTTCTACCCAGCATATAAACATTGGATTTCCTCAGAGTTCTTCCTGGGCCCCCTTCCTTTCTCCTACTTATTGCGTGGGGAATCTCTTCCTCTCTCTTCGATTTAAATACCACTGTATGATTGATGGCTGCCAGATTTGTATCATCAGGCCATATCTTCTCAGAGTGCTAGAATCCCATATGCAACTGCCTACTCAGAAATCCATTTCTATAAAAAAAAAAAAGAAATCCATTTCTATATCTTACAGATATCACCTTTGTAACAAAAAAGTTATTATAGATATTTTTGTAATAGCTTTATTGAGATAAAATCCATATACCCTAAAATTCATGCTTTTAGAGTGTACAATTCAGGGATTTTTAGTATATTCACAGAGTTGTACAACCATTAGCACTCTTCGAATTCCAAAACATTTTCATCACCCCAGAAAGAAATCCTGTACCATTAGCAATCACTCATTCCCCCCATGCCCTCAGTCCTTGGCAATCACTACTGTCCTTTCTTTTTCTCTCTGTATTTGCCTGTTCTGGACATTACAAATAAATGGAATCCTGTAATATGTGGCCTTTTTCTGGTTTCTTTTCACTTAGCATGATGTTTTCAAGATTCATCCATATAGCATGTATCAGTACTTTATTCCTTTTTATAGCTGAATAGTATCCCAGTGTGTGGATAATGCCACAGTTGACAGTACATGCATGTTCTTGCTGAAGCTCTGCTGCTGTGATGATGTACTTAAAGCTACAGAATGTGAAAATAAGGCGATACTATGTATAATTTGGATTGACTATAACATCACACTGATAGAGCTTGATGTGAAGAAAAATTATGTAATACTAACTTTTACCTTATTTCCACAAGAACACAGAATGTGGGGCTGTATTCACTTTTAACTTTGTGTGAAGTCTCACATTCTCTGATACTTTACTTTTGGAAACATAAGCAGGCTTTTTGCTTATTTTGTGTGTGATCAGCTGAATCTGTTTTAAAGGCTTTATAGAATATATTTTGTAGAAAATATTTAATTGTTCAAGGACAATGGGTTTAATCCCAAGGTCACATTCTAATAATACATTTTCTTTTCACTGTTGGAAATAATTATTTTAAGTGAAAGTTATCTTAGTGTTTAAATGACATTATGAAATTACATTACAAAATGCCAAACTGTTAAGAGACAGAATTTTATTTTCTTCATACTTTGAGGTTAGGTATTCATGAATGTATGAAAATGCCAAACATTTGAAGATCTACACATAAAACTATTTATTTGAATGTGAACATCTAAATAAATCACCAGGATCATCTAAATACTATTTTACATTATGATTCCAGGCACTAGCCTTGACTAAGAACTGTAGTCATTTTCTGAATCCATTTAGGAGTTTCCAGATAAGTAGTTGGAACGCCTGGGTGGCTCAGTCAGTTAAGCGTCTGCCTTTGGCTCAGGTCATGATTCCAGGGTCCTGGGATTGAGCCCCACATTGGGCTCCCTGCTTAGCGGGGAGCCTGCTTCTCTCTCTCCCTCTGCCTGCCGCTCCCCCTGCTTGTGCGTTTTCTCTCTCCCTCTCTCTCTCTCTCTCTGTCAAATAAGTAAAATCTTCAAAAAATCAGTGGTTTTCTTTGTCATGAGAGAACTTTAAAGGAGTAATGAATGGGCTTTTAAAAAATTCAGTAATTTTATTAGGAAAATATTTTTGATTATAGAATTTGAATAAACTAGATTATGGAATCATTGATTCTAAATGATAAAAATCACTGATGAAAAACATAGAATCTGATCATGAAGGTAGAATCAAAGAATTCTCTTCATGATTAGTGTGAGAATTTAAAATAATGAAGTACTTGGTAGGTGAAATGTTACACTCCTCACTGTGTGGCACCCCACCCCTGCTAGAAAGAGTAGGTGGAGATCTTGATTAGAAGATGTGTTAAGTGGAGTTATATGGATAGGCAGCAAGGAGGGGTATTGTTTTTAGGTTTTGTGAGGTGTCGAAAATGATATCGTCATAGTCACTTGTTTGACGAGGTACACATTAGTGGAGTTTTAAATTCAAGTTTTAAATGTGGAAGAGAATGAGCACTTATCAGAACAGAAGGAAATGTGTGGTTAAACGGTTTCAGCTATAACTGTAGACTATTTCCCTTGGTCCAAATGGGAGGAGAAATGGAACCTTATGTTTTGGGCTTTTTCCCCATTATAAATAGAAATTAGTTCAGTGTGGAGCCTTTTACCAGGAAAAGAGGTTATGTTTAGTAGTAGAGGGGAATGACAAAAATGTGTACTAAGATGGCATGAATCCTGTAGGTTTTATTTTACAAGTGTCTCAGTTGTGATTTTTGAGCATATTGGTAATTATTGACAGTCAATTATTCTTATTAAACCTCTCTAAAAACAAGAATGCCCCAAAATTGTTGAAGAAGCTGATGAATTGAATAAAGAAAAAGGTAATGCTTCCAGCTTTTTCCTCAAAATGAAGACTATCTTAACCAATTTTATATAATTACAGGTAATAAATAATGCTAATTTTAGCTCACAGAAGCACTTGGATTATCCAAATAAAATATATTTGGTACAGACAAATGAAGAACCTTATTTATAAAGATATATTTGATAGTTTGAAGAGTCATGGAAGTCCTGCTTTCTCTGCATTTAAAAAATCTTATTAAGGCATTAAATTAAAAAAAATCTATGCTGATTTTTTATCCTGAAATCCATGTTAAATGAGGTAGAGAAGACCTTTTTTTTTTTCCTAAAGTTACTATTAGGATAGTGCAGTATTGGGACGGGGGGAGAATTTTAATAAATTTTTTATATTTCTTACAATAAATTTTCACCTTAAGGTGATAGCATGTGCACCTTTCCTTCCTTGATGGATCTTTAATGGCTCTTGAGAACAGTTATATTTTCAGGTACTACGGGAATTTAGTGATTGAAAATGAAACTGGTCTGAATTTACAAATCATACCTAAAGTGATTTTGCTCCAGAATTATTTATATTTACTTGACAAATAATGGTGGATAAATAAATGTTCTATCAGTTAAGTTTCTCTGGTTAAAAGCAGTAGAAATCAACTCTGGCCAACTGAAGTTAAAAAAAAAAAAGGCAGCATTACTTTACAGGAAGCTATGAGGTAGCTTATAAAACTCAAGGTAAGTATGAAGAGCCTGACCCTGGGTAGCTCTGGGTATCCAAATAGAGGGAAATTGTGTGTACTGTCTTTAGGGGCTAGTGAATTCCAGTTTTCCATCTTTCTGTCTTTTTGCCCAAGGTTCAAAAATCAAGGCAGAGTACTTGATTGTCCTAGCTTCAGCTGGAAGAACAATGATATCTACTGCAAGTATCATTTTACTATAGTTTTTATAAAATCTGCATAACTTTTTTTTTTAAACTAATTTGAGGGGCACCTGGGTGGTTCAGTCAGTTAAGTGTCTACTTTCAGCTCAGGTCATGATCCCAGGGTCCTGGGATCAAGCCCCGTGTCAAGCTCCCTGCCCAGGAGGGAGTCTGCCTGTCACCTTGCCTCTCCCCTAGCTTGTGCTCTCTCTTCTCACTCATTCTGTCTCTCAAATAAATAAGATCTTAAAAAATAAATAAATAAAACCAATTTGAAAGAATTGTGATTAGAAATAAAGTCCTGGTAAACCAGATTAACTTACAGAATTTGGTCAGAGGCTATGGTTGATATACTTTCCTACAATTTTTTTTTTAAGATTTCTTTATTTATTTTAGAGAGAGTGTGTGTGAGCGAGTGAGGGAGGAGGGGCAGAGGGGGAGAGAGAGAATCCCAAGCTGACTGTCTGCTGAGCCTGGAGCCCAACGCACTGCTCACGCCCACAACCCTGAGATCATTACCTGCGCAGAAACCAAGAGTTGGACGCTCAACTGACTGAGCCACCCACATGCCCCTACAATTCTTTTTTTTTTTTTTTTAAGTTTTATTTATTTATTCATGAGAGTCAGAGAGAGAGGCAGAGGCAGAGGGAGAAATAGGCTCCCCGCCTAGCAGGGAGCCCGATGCAGGACTCAATCCCAGGACCCTGGGATCATGACCTGAGCCGAAGGCAGACGCTTAACCATCTGAGCCACCCAGGAGCCCCTGCCCCTACAATTCTTAATTCTATAATTGTATTCATCTTTTTTTTTCCCCTAAGAAAACCACAGGTTTCCTCAGTAAGCTTGTTCTTCATTTCTCATGTGTGTGATGGCTTATCATTGGTTTTCATCCTTTTTTTCTGTGTCTTAGGTGTATTTGAAGGCTCCTATGATTCTGAATGGAGTCTGTGTTATTTGGAAAGGCTGGATTGACCTCCAGAGACTGGATGGTATGGGCTGCCTGGAGTTTGATGAGGAGCGAGCCCAGGTAGGGTGACATCAGGCTCTACTGACATGGTCTCTTTCTGTACCTCTAATCTTGCCTTCATCTGTGCATCTATTTTATCCCATCTTTAAGAGTAAGTATAAAAAGTCTTATGTTCAAGTAGTATTGAGGAATTCTGAAGATAGATGTTGAGACCCATTCTGGTCCTGGTTTGGGGAAAATTTTTCTTTCAATGGTTCTAAATTTCATTGGATTATTCCTGTCTGCTCAGTGGGGCACTTCAGAGTCCACTCAGTGGTTCTTTTTAATATTTTTTCTTTATCTTTAGAACATTATCAGGAGGGAGAAACAGTTCAAAATAAAATGTAGCATTTCTGGAGTGGCTCGGTGAGGAGTTTGACAAATCCTCTCCCTGAAAAGCAGCGATTAAACTGGACAAAATTGTTTAAAAAAAATTTTTTTTAAGTCTCTGGAAATTAACCAAAGGCCATACATTGAGAGGTTGAATTTCAGTAAGAACCTGACAGTCTGTGGCATTTTAGTCAGTAGGGAGCATTTCCATCTCTTCCCTTAGTTCTGTGGCCTCTCAGTTTAGGCAGGCAGGACAAGCCATGAAGACTGGCAGCTCTACCATCCTGTCAGAGGGAGCTGACTTTATTTAGGGCAACATTTGAAAAAATCCATGCCCAGGGATGTTATCAAAAACAATAGAGGGCTCTGGCAAACCCTCCAGGAAGGCAAATGTTGTGGGAAGCAACAAAATGGCAGACTGGCCAGAAATTTGCAGAGACATCTAGGGAAACGGGCTGCTAAAGTGGGCCCTGTTAAAATCACAAAACTTCTCATGGTCCAGAAGACTGTGTGCATGTGTGAGGCTGCACCTGCTCAGGAGAAAACAAAGCGGGCTCTTGCAAGCTACTAGTGTACACAGGGTAGAGTGATAAACTCCCTGCACTTTGAAAGTATTCAAGCTGCTCACAGATCCAATGACAAAAGACAAGCCTTCTGGCTCAAGGTGTTTAAGCAAAATCCCTGAACAGTCATTGGCTGACCACTAAGCTATGCTGACCCAGGGCATAGGCCTAGAAAGCTAGGCCTAAAAAGAAAACAAAACTAAGCAGCGACACCAGAGGCTGCACATTACTGGGGAAACAAATTCTACAGAATTAGTCCAGGTTAAAAAAAAAAAAAGTCTAGGTAAGTCACTAAACGGACAGATAAAAATAGCAACAACACAGTGGAGACTGGAGTCAGAATTCAGAGTTGCTACAGCATATTATTTAAAAATGTTCCACTTTCGGCGGCCTGGGTGGCTTAGTTGGTTAAGCAGCTCCCTTTGGCTCAGGTCATGATTCCAGGGTCCTTTGAACCCTGCATTGGGCTCCCTGCTCAGCGGGAAGCCTGCTTCTCCCTCTCCCTCTGACTGCCGCTCCCCCCTGCTTGTGCACACTCTCTCTCTGTCAAATAAATAAAATCTTAAAAAACGAAAAAGAAACTACCTTTGAAGGAGCCCAATTGTTTGTTCTTAGTGACAAAGGCTTAAAAGCAGTTATTTATCAGTATGTTCAAAGAATTAAAGGAAAATTCTTCCTTTAAATAATTAAAGGAAAATTAAAATGAGAATGACTTATCAGATGGAGAATATCAATAGAGATCACTCAACAGCAGATTTGAGCTGGCAGAAGAAAGAAGTTAGTGAATTTGAACATAGATTAATAGAAATTATCCAGTCTGAAGAACAGAAAGAAAAACAAGGCAGTCGTAGAGACTATGGAACACCAGCATGCATACCAACATGTGTAGGTAATGGAAGTTCCAGAAAGAGAAGAGAGAGGCAGAAAGTTTATTTTAAGAAATAGTAACTGATGAAAACTTCCAAATTGATTGAAAATATTCCTCTCCATATCCAAGAAGTTCAGTGAACTTGAAGTAGGATAAAAACAAATCCACACCTAGATGCATCACAGTCAAATTTTAAAAAACAAAGAATCTCGAAAGCAGCAATAAAAAGGACTCAACACATGCAAGAGAGCCACAGTAAGATTAACAGCTGATTTGTCTTTTGAAATTATGGAAGCCAGAAGGTAGTGGGATGATAATGACTTTCAAAATGCTAAAAAGAACATGTAAGAATATTTATTTTATTTTTAAATAAAAATTTTTTATTAGTTTATTAGTAGGTGTTGATTTCTTTCGATTGTTTTATATTCATCCTCTCAATAAAGTTAAAATAATGACAAGAATAAAACTTCTTTTGTTGTTTCTTTCTGTTGTCTCTTCTATGCTCTCCACATACGGAAACATGAGAATTTTCTTATCAAAATCAAAACCCAAAACCTTCCTAGTAAAAAATTAAAATTCTTGGGGTGCCTGGCTGGCTCAGTTGGTAGAGCATGTGACTGTTGATCTCAGGGTTGTGAGCTCAAGCCCCATGTTGGGTATAGAGATTACTTTAAAAATAAGTAAATAAGCAACAAAATTAAAATTCTTAAGAAAGAATCCCTGCTACCTTGATTTCCACAAAGATAAGGAGTTACCAACTCTTTCAGAAAAATACTAAATAATCCTCAATTTAGAAGACTGTTTCTGTGAGAAGTGATACAGCAGATTAAATTTGTATAAGGTAAAATTTCAGACTTAATTGATTTCTAAAACTGAAATAGTTTATTAAAATGATAAAAGTTTTAAGTTTAACCCACAGTATCTTCCATACTTAGATTTTTCCAAGTCTTCTTTCCCCAGTCTATAAATTGAGCTTTATCACTACAAAGTTAGTACCATCTGTTGTGGTAATAAACTAATATAATAATAGGTCTTACATAATGTAAAAATTTTAAAGCAGGGGACTCCAAACATTCAATCAGCAATGAGTACTTCTGTATAACCTTCCCTATCCCAGAATCATCTGTAAGATATGTAGAAGTTAGGAATAGGGGCTTTGTTGTCATATAATTGTGAATCCTAACCCCACTGCTTACATCTGTTACGGACTGAATATTTGTGTTCCCCCAAATTCATATGTTAGAGCCTCAACCCCCAGTGTGACTGTATTTTGGAGGGGGGTTAGTTAGGGTTAAATGAAGTCCTAAGAGTGGGGCCCTGATATGGTAGGATTAGTGTCCTGATAAGAGATACACAAGAGAGCTTGCTCATTCTCTTTCTCTGCTATATGAGGATGGTATTCACTAACAGACACTGAGGTATCTGGTACCTGGTAAGGTAAGAGATAAACAGTATGGTTACAATTCCATTTTAACTGAAGTTTGTAAGTATTTCAGCTGACGTATTTTCACCTGCATTGTGTTTTTGCCTTTGTTCAGAGTACTTTTCACAAACGTTGACAAGGATATGGAACAGTAGTTTGTGTGGTGGTTATGTAAAATTGACACATTTGGAAAATTGACAGTACATACTAAAACTGCAAATGACATATACCTGTGATCCAGCAATTCTAGTCTAAGCCATGGTATACAAAGGGATTGAATACATATATTCATCAAGAGAAATGTACTGGGCATTTGTAGCAGCATTAGTAATAGCCAGAAACTGCAAACTGCTCAATTGCCAGTTAACAGTAGGATGAATAAATTGCTCACTCACACAAAGAAATACAGTGATAATAAAAACTACAGCTTGCACACCAGTATGGATGGGTTTCAAAAATATATTGATTGTATCCAAAAAGTACATGCTGTATGAATCCATTCATCTGAAAGTAAAGAAATGGGCAAAACTAATTAAGTGCTTTTAGAAATAAGGATAATGGCTTATCCCTGAGAGAGGAGGCTAGGTACTCCCAGCCTAGGAATGGGGCAGAAGGATACTTGTGAGATGCTGTTACTGTTCTGTGTCTTCCTATGGATTCTAGTTACATGGAAGGTTCAGTTTAGGACAGTGCTGCCCAGTAGAATTCAGATGTGAACCACATAATATAAGTTTTTCTAGAAGCCACATTAAAAAAAATAAAAAGCAATTATTTAATTTTTATATTATATTTTGTTTAACCCAGTATATCCAAAATAATGTACTTGAACATAAAATGAATATAAACATTTACTGAGATGTTTCACATTTTTTTCTTTGTAGCAAGTACTTGAAATCCAGTGTGTATTTTTCATGTACAGACTCCGACTAGCCACATTTTTCTTTTTTCTTTTTTTTAAGATTTATTTGTTTGAGAGAGAGCAAACAGGGAGGGGCAGAGGGAGAGAATCCTCGAGCAGAACCCCTGCTGAGTGAGGATGCCAATGTGGGACTCGATCTCGTGACCCTAGATCATGACCTGAGCCAAAACCAAGAGTCGGACACTCAACCTACTGAGACACCCAGACATCCACAGACTAGCCACATTTCAAGTGTGCAGTAGTCACATGTGGCTAGTTGCTACCATACTGGACAGGAAAACCTTAATATAAGTGTACACTTTTGTATATATAATATACTACAATAATAAAATGTTTTACAAGTTTACCACAAATGAATATAATTCTGAATATAATTGTAGAAGTAATTAACTCATGTTTGCTGATTATATTTTCATCATTCAATTTATTTTCTCTAATTTGTAAGGATAAAACTCAATGTCTTTATGCTTTTGGCTTTCAATAATTGTAACTCTAAAAGCTTAAAGATTTTTGGCACTTCGCCATTGGATACTTTAATCAGAGATTTCCAACTAATTTTGAACAAGGTGTAACAGGACTCATTTACCATAAAAAGGTCAGTGCCATTGTAGGACCTATATGGATTTCAGAGTAGTACTTGAAAGGCTCAGTTTTCTAAAATCCAAGGTATGGGTGTACTGTCCTGATGAATTTTTTCTATTCAGCATCAGCTTTGTCACATTTTATAGTTCTGTTACTTTGTAGATACATAAATAGATTTCTAATTTATGCAGCTATAACTTCTAAATGATTGGCAAACTGTCTTTGGCTACAGTTATGAATTACATGCGTCACATCTTGTTCCTCATAAATTTCTATTTCATAGTTTTTTAAAGATTTTATTTATTTATTAGAGATTGCCCCTGTGCTTGAGGGTGGGGAAAGGGGCAGAGGGAGAGAAAGAGAATCCCAAGCCGACTCCTTGCTGAGCACAGAGCCCAGCCTCGATTCCAATCGCACAACTGGGAGATCATGACCCAAGCCAAAACCAAGAGCCAGAGGCTCAACTGACTGAGCTACCCAGGCACCCTTCTGTTTCATTGTTTTTAAAAATTCACTGAGAATGTTACTTTTTTTTTCTTTTTTTCTTTTTTTTAAGAGAGCGCAGGTGAGCAGGGAAGGGCAGAGGGAGAGAGAATCAGAAGGAAGCTCCATGCCGGGCATGGAGCCTGACTTGGGGCTGGATCTCACAACCCTGTGGTCATGACCTGAGCTGAAATCAAGAGTCGGACACTTAACTGACTAAGCCAGTCAGGCGCCCTGGGAATGTTAATTTTTACACAGTGTGTGCTCCACCAGCATTTGTATTATCAATATGAGGGAATAATTTTATCTTCACTGTTGTACTTTTTAAATTAATTTGCTTTGGCAGTCACAAAAAAAGATGTTTCAGGGGCCTGGCTGGCTCAGTCATTGGAACACCTGACTCTTGATCTCGGGGTTGTGAGTTAGGGCCCCATGTTTGGTGTAGAGATTACTTAAAAATAAAATCTTAAAAAAAAAAAAGTTTCACTTTTAATGTAATGACTTTTCAAAAGTTTAATTTTGGTTCTATGATCAAGTTAGAAAAATTAAACCATTATTTGAATTAACCGATTTTCTATTTGACATCCCTGATGACACTTGCAAGGTTTTTGTTAATGAAATCAGCATATAAACAGCTTTGCTTTTTATATGTGTATGATAATATGAATTGAATCATTTGTCATTTGTCAGTGAATTAAATCACTTGATTTAAATGAAGTTGTGTTTTGCAGAGTGATATTAAATGTACCGGTTGCAGCTGCTCATGTTAAATTGTCGCCTTTGAAGTATATGTTGATGCTTCTTCAGCAGTTTTATTTCTTTTGGTTTTCATGTGATCAGTGATACCATTCTGGTCCTCACAGAGAATAGTAAATGTCGTTATTTTGTGCAAATTACGTGTTCCTTCATCAACTTTCTTGGAAATGAATTTGATTCTTAATTTTTCATAAAACAGGCACTTCCAGTTTTTAAATTCATTGCTGCAGAAAGGTATTACCAAACCATAAAATAAATATAGTTGTAGATTTAGGCACTATAGTAAAGACAAAATCACTGCAGCAAGAATGGTCAGGATATTCTGTATATGCTCCATGACAGGACTGCAAAGCCTTTATTTGCCACATGGGTTTCACTATACCCACCTTTTATGATGACCCCACCTGACTCCTTTGTGCAGATCGTGGTTAAGACCACAGTATAACAAGTAGCTGGCAGGGATGAGAGTGTTTACAGCTGCTCCCACTGCCATCTGAGACTGGATAGAATTAGTTGTCCCTAGCCATCTTGAGCATACTTTATGGGTGAGTATATCGTTTATCAGGAGTTGCCCTTTATGCTGCCCTTGAAGGGGGTAGGTGTTAGTTAAGGATAACGCTGGTCATTGCCAATCGTCTTTCAGATTAAAGTGCAAACTGTTCACATACATTTCACATCTTGCTAGAAAGGACCAAGACAGAAGCTGGAGTTAGAAAGCGGAGAGCTACCAAATCTCTCTTAGCTTATTTTACTACAATTATTAGTAATAATACTTTTTTCTTTTAATGAAATAAAAATCTGTGACCATTGCTAGAATACACATTAGTGGCTAATAACTTCCTTAGGGAATTAGATCACATTTCATGTTATATGCTCTCATTTCACCATGTAATATTCCTCTACTATGCTTAATCACAGCTGACATTTATATATTGATTTTTTGTAATTATTTGTTCATCATCTACCTGCCCCACTAGACCAGACTGTGAGGAGAAGCAGCATTGTTCCCTCACATTGAATCCATGGCACCTTAGCACAGTGACTTGGACATAATAAAGACTCAAGCATTTGTAGAATGAATGAAAAAGTGAATGAATGCACAGGAGTACCCTGTTATCAGTATATGTGTCCCAGTTGATAGCTAACTAAACAATAGAAAGCCCTTGGGAGTTGGGAACAGTGTTCTTTTGCAGGTACCTCAAGCTTATATGGTATATTCTAAGAATACAGTAGGAATGTGTAATGATATTTAGTTAGATGTGTAAATTTGATATATCTGTAAATGCTTGTAAAATAATAGGTAGCACTTACTGAATGCTGTCCGTTAATATGCTTAAGCATGTTTTATATGTTACTTAATCTTTACAGCAATCTTATAAAGTAGGTATTACTACTATGCCCATTTTACATTTGAGTTTACTGAGGCTTAGAGAAATGAAATGCCTTTCCCTTGGTCATAAAGCTGGTAAATGCATCAAAGGATAGAAATCCAGAAATCTAATTACACCTTTCAAAATTTTTTAATATTTTATTTATTTATTTGGCAGAGCACAAGTAGGGAGAGCAGCAGCAGAGGCAGAGGGAGAAGCAGGCCCCCGCAGAGCAGGGAGCCCGATGCAGGCTTCAAAGGACCCTGGGATCATGACCTGAGCCGAAGGCAGTCACTTAACTGGCTGAGCCACCCAGGCGCCCCTACACCTTTCAGTTTTAAGTTATAGACATCTTGTCAGTGAAAATTTTAAGTATTAAACAGCCGTACTAATAGTGACAAATAAAACGTGCATCACACAGAATACGACACCAAGCAGTATAGGCATAGTCCAGGTAGGTATAGCACTTACTTATATTACAGGGGTCCTGGGTCTTCTCATCTTCTGCTGTGCTATGCTCAGTGTGGGATTGCATCCACATTATTATGTTTGCACAATGGCTGCTGTATCTCTGGGCATTGCATCAGCTCATAGGAAGGAGAAAAGCTGACATGTCTCTCAAATAACTTCTTAGAAGCCCCATTAGGTGACTTAGGCTTCTGTCTGGTTAGAACTGAGTTACTGGTCACCCCTTGCTGCGGTGAATCTAGGAAGTTGAATATTGGTGACTTTTTGGATATTTTTATCTTTTAGTTTCTTGAAGTGTACCATCGAAAAATCCTAGTATTGAAAAGTGTGTGACTGCAAAGGTTGAGCATCCTGTGCTGTAGACAATGAGGGAGCTTTTTTAAGTTGGGGGTATTGTGGTCAGATTGTGCCTCAGGCATGCTCTGATGGCTCTGGTAAATCGGGGATGACAGAATGGAAGCAGGGAGAGGCCGTGTAGGAGATCTTTGCAGTAATTTTAGTAAGAGATCTTAGAAGCCTGAACTAAGAAACTGTGGGAAATAAAAGGAGACTTTAAATTTCCAAAAATATTTAGGAGGTCAGATGGCTAGGACTTGGTGGTTGATAGGCTCTGCAGAGACGGGAGAGTGAAGAGTCAAAGGTGGCTCAGACTTCTGGCAGAAATGAGTGAGTGGTGCCAAGAATGGAAACTAAAGGGGAATAAAGGAGATAGTTTAAATCGGTTGTCCCTCAGACACAGTGAGTTTGAGGTATCTGGATTTTCTTCATGTGCAGATCTTTATTAATTGGGAAAGGATTAGGTAGATTTGTTACATGTTGCAAATGTTTTTTCTTGATAATATCCCTTGGACTTTTATTTACTTCCTGTTGTTCAGCAGTTTCTCACATTTGTATAATCAATTCTGTTAATATTCTCTTTTATATTTCTGGCTTTCGTGTCCTAATTAGAGGGCCTGGCCTGTCTTACACCCAAATTATAGAAGTATATACCTCTGTGGTTTAAATACTGACTTGTACAGGATTTTATTTTGGTGACTAGGATGAGGTAAGGAAAGAGAGCATTTTCAGTTGTTAGAATTACTCCGCTCTTCATTTCCTCCAAGAAACAAACACCGTCAAATTGTAAGTTTTTATTCTAAATCACAATTAAAGTATCCTTTTCATGTATTCCAACAGCAGGAGGATGCATTAGCACAACAGGCCTTTGAAGAGGCCCGGAGAAGGACGCGTGAATTTGAAGACAGAGACAGGTCTCATCGGGAGGAAATGGAGGTGAGAGTTTCACAGCTGCTGGCAGTAACTGGTTAGTACTTTCCCCCAACCTCTCAGGCTCTCTTTGTCATGTTTGTTGTGCATAATGTTTTTTATAAATAGTTTCATTTTGTCTTTCATTTGTCAAAAGTTATACTGCGTCTTTGTGTTTATTAAATGTAATTGCTCTAAAGAGACTTAGTCTTAATTTTAAGGTTGTACATGAATTCACTGTTTATTGGTCCTCATAAAAATCATTTACTGTCATGTATATATTCTCTTAATTCATTGATCCAAATATCTTCCCTCGTTTTTGTCTTATTTGTAAAAATTACTTTATGTTATCATAGAATACATATTTTTAGAACATTATTAAAACTCTTTGGAAATTACATTACTTTATATTTTTTAATGAATGTTTGTCTTGATTTTGTAACAGTGTAATGTTTGGCCATTTGTGTATTATCTTTACTAGAGGAAAATTTAATATTTTCTTACTACTCAATGAAATTAACCTAAACCATTTTTTTTTAACTTTTTATGGTACAGAGATAGAAATCCTCACAAAAGAAATATGTAGCTTAATTACTGTAAGGCTAACACCCTAATAACACCATCCAGATTAAAAAAAAAGTCAAACTTTGACAACTACCCCAGCAGCCCCTCCATGTGGGCATCTAATTATGACCTTCTCCCTCCCCTTAAAAGTACTCATTACCTCAGTTTTTATAGTAATCACTTCCTTGTGTCTTTAGTTTGATTACCCATGCCTCCTTCAGTCTTCAACATTGAAGTTTAGTCTTACCCAGTGTTTAAATTTGATAAGACTTTTAATTGACATGGATTTTTTCTATATAAAATTGTACCCTGCTTTAAGCAGACTTTAATTAGATTAACATTTAAAGTATATATACATTGTTCAAAACCCCAATTTCTACAAATTGTATACTCTAACAAAACAAAAATAATCAAGATCAGAACTAATGTGTTTGAAAAGAATATTGTTAAATGTTAATAAATGCTTCAAGTTTATAAGCTTAATTATCGACATGAGCATTTCACACAAGAAGAAGTAGGAAAAAGCACACATTCATCTTTGATAATCAAAAGAAATGGAATTAAAATATAATTATAGTACGTGAACTAAATAGAATAATTTCCAGGCATTAAAAAGAGTTCTGCAGATTGGTTGCATAACATCGTAAATGTACTTAATACTTAACACTACTGAACTGTGCATTTAGAAATGGTTAAGATGGTAATTTTTATGTTAAGTATATTTTAACACATTAAAAATTTTTTTTATCGGTGTTACAGAAAATTTGTGGGTTTTCCATGCACAAAATTATTTGTACACTATTATTTAAATTAACACAAAAGTGTGTGTGTGTGTGTGTGTGTACGGAGATATTGGTGAAGCGCCCAGACACTAGAGCCAGCCTGCGAGATCTGAATCTGGCTTTGCCACTTACTTTGTCACTTTGAACAAGTTATTTCATCTTTCTGTGCCTGAGTTTCCTCTTTGATAAAATGAGGCTAATAATTGTGCCTATCACATAAGGTCATTTTAAGGATTAAATAAGCAAATACATATGAAAGCACCTCTTGAGTATGTGGCTGAGTAGATGTCAGCTGCTATTATTAGTGTTACTGTGTGTGTGTGTGTGTATCCCTCTATGTGACAATATATATATTTTAGAATAAATGAAAAAAATCAAGCTATTTAGTGGTTAGTGTATAAAATAGAATTATCTTTTAATGATTGAGATTTCGCTTTGTTAGTGAGTGAATTAATCTAATAGGCTGATAGCAACTGTTGGTGGTGCCCCCAAGAATATAGTACTTTTTAGCTAGGAGAAGAGACAGGAGGAATATTATGCAATGCATTTGTAATTCTTGGAAGCTTTTCAATTCTTGTGATCAGACTTCCCATGACATTTTCTTTCAGAATGCTTGTATCTGTAGTAGTAAGAAGTTTTTAAACCTATAATGTGCATTTATCTTACACTTCTGAACCTTTTTGCTCATGCTGTTTCTCTGGCTGATAATGTACCTTTCCACCCATTTGTTAAAACCCAGCTTAAACATTCAGTCACTCCCTTCTCCAGCCTGCTTCACTGTTACTAGCCCTTCCACTTTGTAGTTTCCAGAGCACTTATTTCTGTTATTGTTCCTACAGAACAGTATGTTGAAACAATTAAAAACATGTCTGTCCTTTATTGTAGATTCCCAGTGAGATGGGGCCCCTGATTTTTTAATCCTCACATTACCCACCACAGTGTTTTGTACATTGTGTTTAGTTGTCTAATGGAGATTTTCAGAAAACAGTTCTTATCCTGGCTATCTGAAAACTAAAGTTACAGGGTAGACTAGAGGTTAAAGTAGAATAATACATATTACTGGTCTCTGGAAAGGTTTTAAATGTTTGTAATTTGTTGGTTTATATTAAGTAATGAACCCCAACTATGTTGTGCTGGATTCTGCATTAGGGACTGGTAAATACATAGATGAAAATGCACAGGGGCACCTGGGTGGCTCAGTCACTTAAACGTCCGACTCTTGATTTCAGCTCAGGTCATGATCTCAGGGTCGTGGGATAGAGCCCTGAGTCAGGCTCCCTGCTGGGTATGGAGCCTGCTTAAGATTCTCTCTTTCCTTCTCCCTCTGCCATCGCCTCCCGCCCCCCGCCCCCCCGGCTGCTTGCTCTCACACTCTCTCTAAAAAAAGAAAGGAAGGAAGGAAGAAAAAAGAAAACGTATGGTTTCTGTCCTTGAGCAACTGTCAGACTTGAGGGAAGAGAGATACATAAACACATAATTGGAGACTACTTTACCAGCAGCCACACACAATGGAGGTTCAGAAGGGGAGCAGTGAACAGTGTAGAGGAATGAGTGCTTATGTCTGCCTCTGCTTGGGGAATTCACAGGAAAATACCCTTGCAGGGATTTGAAAGAAGAGTGGGAGTTTGCCCCAAGCTAGGCAAGGCATTCTGGGCAGAAAGAACAGTGTATGCAAAGGCATGAAGCAGTAAGAGATCTTGTCATGTCTGAGAACATGATTGGTCAGTCTTTCTGGGAACAAGCCAACATGGCTTTTAATGAATATAAGAATTGCTTTATAAAAAGTGCTCTTTGGCTACATTACATTTGAAGAATAACTTTGTTAATTAATGGAACGATTACTTAAGTTTTTGTATATGTTTTGCTTTAAATAAAATGGATTAGTTGACACCAAGAGTTGTCTTAAATGCTAACTTGGTTGTTCTTATAAATAATGCTACTTGAAAAACATTCTGGTGTGTGAATTTATATATATGTGTGTGTGTTTATATTTGTGTATGAACAAAAGCATAGTCTGTTGATAGAAGTGTTAAATGATTTGTTGCTCAGGTAGATTGTTTTCCAGTGGGTTTTATGTCAGTGATTTGAGAGCATGGACTTTGTAGTCAGGCCCAGTTGAGATTCCTGCTTTATCACTTCCCAATCTCTCTTAAGCTTATTTTCTCATAGAAATTGTTGTGAGAATTAAATAGGAAAATACTTGTAAAAGCACTTAGTATGGTGGTTGGCTGGTGTATGCCTACAGTAAATAATAGCTCTAAAGTACTTCTTTAGCACTAAAAGCTCTACCACAGTGCTGGTTCCAGTTAATTGAATTATCCTTTTAGTTCTCTAAAGTGTTATCAGGGCACTTTCCCTGCATTATGACCTGGAGCATAGAAAAAATGGTTAGATTGTCATCAATGATTTAAGATTCCATAGTCCCTGAGGCAATAATTTAAAACATCAGTTCTTATAGAGAACTGTCATCTATAAAATTGGGCTGGAATCTGACTCCAGAGCTTGCACTGGCAGTCCCTTAGGAAGTTTTGGGTATGCATGTCTTTGGTACTTTGTGCATGTATATTTTGCTTCCCTTTAAAAAAAAAACCATAATGGGGAGCCTGGGTGGCGCAGTTGGTTAAGTGACCAACTCTTGGTTTCGACTCAGATCGTGAACTCGGGGTTGTGAGGTTGAGCCCCACTTAAGCCTCCCTGCCCAGTCTGTTTGGGACTCTCTCTCCCTCTGCCCCCCTGCCACCACTGCGCTTTTTCTCCCTCAAAATAAATAAATAAACCTTTAAAAATAAATAAATAAATCCACAAGAAATTCCTAATCTTATTTTCTTACAGTTTACCTTCTTTTTCCTAAAAGGGGAGAACATTAGGAAAAATTATCGTCGTCCCCCCCCCATAATTCAGACATCTATATGGGATATTATGCCATATACTCTAACATTCTTATTATAGTTGAAGAACCTGAGACTCCGAGAAAAATTGACTTGCTCTCTTTCAAGTAGTTGGTTAATGGAAAGAAGAGTGAAGACTTAAACCAGTTTCCTAACCAAAAGGCCTCTACAAATACAGCCTAGCACTGGGAAATGAATGTCCACATCACCCATAAAGATGATTAAGTTGAAAAATAAAACCTTCCAGGAGAGGTTAGAAACCATTTTGCCTGGAAAAGAAAAAGCTGAGGCAAAAAAGAATAATAATGATTCCAGTGGGTGGTCCTGATGCCTGACTGGAGGCGAGGGCCGAGGAGCAGTGGTAACTCGTGGGTGGCAGTAACCCAGTAAATGGTCCTTGGAAGCTTGAGATGCTGGCAATTCAGCGGCCTAGGGATGTCCCACCCCTGTTTGGATAACCTCTGAGGCCTCTGGCCCCATGGTGCTAACCTTGTAGTGGTGGTGCTTGAGCATTTAATACATGTGTAAGGTTAAGGTTACTAAAGGTTTTGATTTGTGCCAGTGTCTTTGAACCTGAAATAAGTTCTAAAACTCCCTGAGCGTGTGTCTATTTTACCATCTGTAAAATTTAGAAAGTTTTCAATCCATCATTCATGGTAGGGATTTAGCATTTTCTTTCTCTGATTTTCTGGAAAAAGGTATTTTAGTAATATGATATTTTTCTTTTTTCTTTTGAAATAATTCTTTTAATTTTAGGCAGAAAGACAATATGGAGACTCAAACAGGATGTTGGCAAGTACAACCTTTCATTTCCACGTCTACCT